TTTTAGTCAGGCTAAGCTTATTGTGTTATGAATGACTTATATGCACAGACGTGTTGTTTAGCCATTGAAATCTCCAAGCGAAAGATTGATGTGACTGTTTTCAGTTTTATAAGGGACTTTTTACAACATCGATAATGTAGATTTTTATTTATTTTAACAACAAAACATCAGTAAATAGCAGTATTCCGCCTTACCTGCTTTATTGAGCTGAAGTTGCTTTTATATTCACATTGGTTTATTTTTTAATATTGGCAGCCTTCCTATACTGTTTACCATGTTACTCTGGATATGCGATCTGAAATAGCATGCAAGTATGGCTTATAATAAATGTAAATCCTGCAAGCCGCCGGCCAAACAATCTAAACTGGCGAATGACATGAACTAGAGGGTTGTTTGCTGTTGTGACGCTGTGCGTGCATTTTCGATTTCAGGAGGCGTGGCTTGAATTACAGTCCCTGCCCGCCGTCCAAAGATAATATGCTAAGCGGTTAGCATTTTGGCAGATCACCTACTGCACCTTTAAGTATACAATTACCCTACTAAAAAATCCTGTTTAAACCAGCCAAGGCTGGTTGGCTGGTTTTAGCTGGTCGACCAGGCTGGTTTTAGAGGGGTTTTGGCCACTTCCAGGCTGGTTTCCAGCCATTTCCAGCCTGGTCTTAGCTGGTCAGGCTGGGAGATGACCAGCTAAAATCAGCTTGACCAGCCTAGCCAGGCTGAGAGCCCAGCCAAAACCAGCTATGTCCAGCTTAAACCAGGCTGGTCAAGCTGGTTTTAGCTGGATTAAGCTGGTCATTTTTCAGCCTGACCAGCTAAGACCAGGCTGTAAATGGCTGAAAACCAGCCTGGAAATGGCCAACACCCCTCTAAAACCAGGCTGGTCGACCAGCTAAAACCAGCCAACCAGCCTAGGCTGGTTTAAGCTGGATTTTTCAGCAGGGTATTTTTTCCTACAAAGAAGATTTTAGTTCTTATAGATAATTCGCAGATGTCTGATCCCAGTGGAATGCACCAAGGAAATGATCCAAAGAAGATTTCTCAAAGTCAAATAAGACGGGGCTCCACATCCACATCAACCTTCAATGTAATCAAAATAAGCCAATGGTATTTTGAAGGTGTTTTTCAACTGAAGCAACCTTTTCCAGAGTCCAGTAAGCACACATTATAATAAGACATTAATATTAAGTTAGATTTAGGTTGTGACGTCAGGTGACCAAAATTCAATGTCTAGCCAGCGTCTAAGGACAATTTTATTTTGACTTACGTTTTGATAACGTTGATATTTGGTTGATTTCAGGTTGTGCTGAAAAGTGAACAAAATCTAATGTTGAGCCAATATCTTAAACCAACATCACATTGACATCAAATACTGACATTTATTCATCAGGTATGGCAACCAAAATCCAATGTATGATAGATGTCATAATGGTAACGTCCACACAACGTTGTCAAGATGGCGCAGAGCATGGCTGCTGTGTTGCGAGCTCCCGGCAATCTTTGTTGTATTTTGTGTTTTACTTGTATTTTTGTCATTTTTTGTGCCAGATGTACACACTCTTATTACCCACGACAGACACACACTGCGGAAAATGGCTCCCTCGTTGCACATCGAAGACCGGACTTTGAGTTCTTTAACGATGCTCTGTTTACAAACACAGCAACAGAGCCCTTTGTCTGGGTCACACAACCGAAGCAATGAAGGAAACGCAGAAGGAAAAGAGGAAAGAGAGCTGGCATCCTCGTTGGATTGAGACGCCATGGATTTCGAACTTCACTCCCTACTATTCTGCTGGCTAACGTTCAGTCACTGGACAACAAACTTTGCAAGCTGTGGGTATGCATTTCCTTCCAATGGGAAACAAGAAACTGCTGCATTATCTGCCTTACAGAAACCTGGCTATCTGCGGACTAAGCTTTTCACTCGTCATAGCACACGTGCTGCTGATGATGTGACAATAAAAGTGACTTGATTTGATTTGATTTGAAGTTGAAACATCGTTAGACGATGATACTTGGTTGATTTTATGTTGGATGTTGTATATTGACAATGGCCTGACATTGACATTGGGTTCTGATGCTAAACCAATTTTAATTAACAAACAAAACGCAATGTCGCCATGACGTCGGGATACAGCATCAATCTGACATCATGTTGATGTCCTGTGTCTGCTGGGAAAGTATGTTTGGTCACACTTTATTTTGATGGTCCGTTTGTTGAACTTAAAGTAAATGTAGTGTAAGCCTGGTTTTATGGTTGCTGATAGAGCTAAAATATGCTGCTTATAAAAAACACACATACAATTATTAAAAGAAAATTATTAACAAATTAAGAAAACATCATAAATTTGGCATCGGCAGATTACTGTTTAGAATCAGTGGTGTTGCCAAAGATCTGAGAAGTGAGATTTTGATTATTTTAACGTCCTGATCATACGATTCCTTTTTGTTTGTATGAAGTAATTTTAGCTCGAACGAATTCTCTCAGATCACTGACAACACTTTAACAGGAAGCCGCTGAATTGTTCAGAAGAGCCCACACATGCTTCAAGTTAAGAAAACAAATGCAAATATGTGAGAAACATCTTCATCGGTTTCACAACAAATTGATTCACGCAAATTCTCACAACAAAAATACAGAAATGTGCTGCAAAGAGTAGGCGACAATGGAAACGTGTCAAGGGACCCCCAAAAGTGATGAACATGGCTGCTTCCTGTAGGTGTTGTCGGAGATTTGAGAGATGAATTAATTCATCAAGTTATTAGGGTAGTATACAAACAACAGTACATTACATTCATACCGTATACAAACAACAAGGAACAGTATGATCAAGATATTAAAATAAATAAAATCTCTCAGATCTCTGACAACACTGCTGACTTTAAACAGGAAGGAGCCTGGTTTGTCACTTTTCGGGGTCCCCCGACACATTTCTGTTTTAGACTATTTGAATCACATTTCTGTATTTGCAAGTGTTGTGCACTGTAAAACCCAACGGTCAATTTTGTCAAATGAAATAGTGTAGTTAACGTAAAATTTACCGAAAGTTAATTTTACTTATTTGTAAAGAGTTTTGAACTCAGTGACTACATTTACATGGACATCAGTATTCAAATTATTTTCCTTAATCTAATTAGGAAAATAACAAGATTAAGACGTTTGCATGAGATGCTTTTTGAATGTTCCTTTCATGATACCGTTTTACATGTTATAGCACATAATTCGATTTACGTCATTGCGTCGCCCCGCTATCCGCATTTTCTCCAGAGTTTTGCGTAATTTCGGGTGTTTAATTTTTTATTTAACTGCAGTTTGTCACTTTTATTCGGGGACAAACAAGATTGGATGCAACTATGGACTGCCGGAAGAGTGTTGTTTTAATAGAAGTTTTTAACACATGCTAAATTCGCTGTCACAAAACGCGGCGAAAAGTCCTACATGACTGTAATAGTTAGATTAAGGTGTTTACATGTCTGTACTGCACTTCAGTGATGCCACTAAATTCAGCATACTCCACATGTCTTAATTTGATTTAGTTAGATTACGGCCTTAATCAGATTAAATTAATCAAAAAATGCTGTTTACATGGTAGACTCTTAATCAGAGTATTGACCTAATCGCATTAAAATCGAATGATTGGTGTCCATGTAAACATAGTCAGTGTTGAAGGTAATGAGGTGATTAAATACTTAAATAAAGTAAGTTCACAGTACTCATATAGATTCGTTTTTTAAACCCAAATAGTTTGTAGCAATCGGTTTCCTTAAACGGTTTGAGTTGCCTTAATTTAATGGGTTTTACAGTACTCAGTTAGTTTGAGTTCTCTTCATTCATTGGTTTTAGTGTGCTCAAATTGCTTCAAGTACTCATTCAGTTCACAGTACTCATTTGGATTAGTTTTTGAACTTAAATGGTTTGTTGCAAACGGGTTTTACAGTGTGAGTATTTGCTTGTGTGGTCATTAGGATAAAGATGTTTTCTCAATTTATTAGTATTTTACTATTTACATGTGCTTTCTTTACTTGCTGAGCTCTCTCTGCCACCTTATGATTTAGTCCAAAATGGTGGTACTTTAATACTTTAAGTTTATAAGGGCTTTTTCTAGACATCTTATTTAACCAATAATTAATTTAATTTGTAATCAGTTCAGAGTGAGGTGCACTGATAACCAATAGGTATAATGCATGTTGCAGAAGGAATGGCAACCGAATAACCACACAGTTACTTCCCCTTCTGCGATAAAATCACCTTATGTGTGAACATCCCACTATAAAGCAGTATGATTACAGCCCCAAAGCATCATTTGCTCTGCATCAGTGTGTTCAGACTGGACAGCAGGATTCTTGTCATTGGCAATTACCCACCGTGACTCTGGGTTTTCTGCTTGGTTTTTAACCAGGCAGTGGAATTTCAAAGCAGCAAAGAAGACCTTGAAAGACCCCGTAGAAAAAGAGGAAGGAACGCTTCAGCTGATGTTTTGTGATAGCTTTGTAATTGGGGTGATTTCTTTGCAATTGCTTTTAGTCTAAAACTAAAAAAAAAAAAAAAAGGAGCTGAGTAAGATACAAAGGCGTCTTATCTTTTTTATGAGGTGACAAAAAAGTCTTTTTCTCAAGCATACACATTGTTGTCCTTAATAGTTGTCCTTAAGTGCAGCTTTTCATGGTCAAAAAGAGCAATCGGCGTTGCCAAACCACAACCCCCCCCAAAAAATGTAGAATATAAACTCTTTATAACCACAGTAATGGCCGCCCCCTTCCAAATAACAAAACAATGAGTGAAATGAACACATACAGATGTAAAAGGGTTTTGAGGCTTGTGGACGGAGCAAACCAAGATTCACTGCTCGAGTTACTGTAAAGAAAGTTTCACATACAGGCTTACGATTCAGTGTCGCTCATTTGCGTTTGGTCTGTGTGAAATGCAACGCAAACATTCAGACATTTGCAAGTTTGATGTTCCCAGTTGTCCCAAAACCATTTTCATAAACCACTCAAACACGCATATTCAATTTCGTTTTACTATTTTCCGAGGCTGTCATCTGATTCAGTTTTTACAGCATTATTTTTTTTATCCAACTACAATGTGATCACAGCTTTTTGTCTTACTATATGACTTTTTTCTTCATCTTTACAGTTATACAATGCAGCATGACCAGACAACCCCCCCACCCTCAAAAAAAAAAAAAAAAACAGAAACATTCATACCAACACACTGGCACCATTCTATTGAATACATATAACAAAAAATACTATCTATTTATGAATATTCGGTTAGAAGAATTATATCAAAGACATGGCCACAGAGTCATAAAAATAAATCTAATTAATAAATAAGTCAGTAAATACAGAAGAACTCTTTCGAGGAAATGGATGATTGAACTCGCTAACCTTACCATTCACAGAAGCAAATAATACACAATTTGTACTGTTTTCAGGTCACTGAAACATTAAACGTAAGACCAATACAGCAGTCAGGCTGGTCCTGAGGAATACTGAATTGGTCATGTCATCTATATTTTACAAATGTCTCATTCTTGTCACCGTCCGTTAAACTCTTTTCATGTGTTCAGTGCATAGGCAGAAAGGTAAGTCCCTTTCTTAGTTTCACCTCCCATGCAAGTCATGTAAACCCCATGTTATTTCCATCAAGCCTGATGTGCACTCTTGGACCACTGATGCACCCCTGGATGCCAAACGTGGTGAGGTCCCACCATGTAGCACCATGCCGACCACCAAGGATCGGGCTGTAACCTCATGGCGGCATCTGCCTCCTGAGTCCCACCTCTGCATAGAGATGTCTTGTGGAAGGTGGTGGTATGAACAACATTACACCGTAGTCTCATACTCCATCACTTCTTTGGGGTTGCTAAAGGTCTGGTACTGAATACGGGGTGTCACAGGAGACGTATTCTCCAGCACCAGGATGGTTTTCCTCAGCCTACGGTCAATAAAGTGGGCGTCCCAGGCTGGGTACCTTTTTCTTGGCAGATCGATGCGGATAACCGGACCTTCAGTTCTTGGGGGACGTGGGGAAGAAGGTGGGGGAACACTAGGAGGCCTCACCTGAAACACAGGCATGCAACTGTCTCTATCTCCAGCCCCATTCTCCCGATCCCCACCAGTAGTCCTCGGGAGTGTTCTTGGAGGGCTAGTGACCACGTCTGGCTGGGGCAAGGGTGTCCCCAAGTCCCCAATCCCTCCCAGGCCAATAACTCCCATTCCTTCCTCAACACAGCTCCACTGAGTGCCCAGAATAGGTCCGTCCGGGTGGAGCAGGCAATAATAGACAAACATAAAGAATGTTCCCAAGGCATAGCTACACACTACAACGCACACAATAATCAGGGCGTAAAAGTCAGAGGTGTGAGGTCCCCTATGAATATACCAAGCGGCAGTGAGCGCGACATTCTCAAACAAGGTCACGCAGTAATACACGCCCAGCCGAAAGCGGGCACGACCTTCCTTCACGTTGAACCAGCAAAAGATGTAGATGATGCCTACCACCATGTTGTAGATGATCTCCTCCCACTTAGACATGCAGAAGTCAGTCTCACCCTGGATGATCCAGAAGGTCATGGCGCACCAATGGGCTACGATGAAGATCCCAAAGTAGAGCTGGAAGACTGAAGCGAAGAGGGCGAAGGCGATGGTTCGAGCACCGATGGTGAAGAGGTGCCAAAGCATCTGGACAATCACTGCCTTGTAGGACATGGGGAGCTTATCGTCACGAGAGTCACGCAGAACCTTCTGGTAGGATGCGATCATCCAGGCGAGAGAAACCAATGAGGCAGATGCTGAGAGACCTACAGAGACAGAACAAGAAAGAACAAAGAGACAGCTCAAGTAATGAAGCAGAAAGCCAGAAACAACTTTACAAATATATGCAAAAGCAATTTGCCAAATGTGCTGCAAGCAAGAGAGCATGAGTATGTTCTAGCAGTGCAGTGCTGATAACTAACCAACTGTAAGTACTTCAGGAACAGCGGAGTTTTAATAGTCAGTTATTATATATGACTTGTTATTGTTCTTTGGATATATATAAATGGCAATTTTACATTTTCATTTATTCTTTTATGCAAAGCAACTTGCAATTGAGAAGCCCTTCAAATCCTCAGAGAGCAGCAATTTATCAATGCTTAAGTTAGTTTAGATTTTCCCCCCATCCGTGCATTTGAGAGGTGTGAGTTTGTATGTCCCACATGTGGTTTGTCAAGCCCACTTGTGTGTGTGGAGCATACTCAGAATTGCACAATGTTTTTCAAGAAGCATGGGGTGTTTATAGGAAGGTACCTGATGGATTTGGAGAGGTAATGACTTTGACTTCTACAGGTGGTTTGTCAAGCCCACTCACCAGGGTCAAGCTCTCTGAGAATCAAATTAAATTTAGTTCATGTTTATTTCAATAGCTCTTTTACAATGTAGATTGTGTCAAAGCAGCTTAACATAGAAGTTCTAGTAAATTGAAACCGTGTCAGTCTAGTTTTCTGAGTTTAAGTTTATTTAAGTTCAATTTGATTTATTTTCACTGCTGAAAGTTTAAAACACTGAAGAGCAAAGCCATCGATGCGCAGCTCTACAAGCCCAACCTAGCAAGCCAGTGGTGACAGTGGCGCGGACAAACTTCACCAATTGACAAAAGCGAAGGAGAAAAAACCTTGAGAGAAACCAGGTTCAGTTGGGCATAAGCATTTCTCATGGAGTGCTGATAAGAATGGTCCATGCAGAGAGGATTGTAACTTGATAGTCATAGCAGATGGTCGAAGTGAAGTTTATCCATAAACTAATTTCGAGAGGATCATGTGATTATGATTAAACACGGCTGGCTCTGCATTAGCATGTATGATCCACCAATCAGGCCATTCCTAACCCACTATAAAGAGCCAGGTTTTTTTCACTACAGTTGTCTTCGATTTGAAGAATCCCCCCCTTCCACCCCTACCACTTCACCTTTCCCTCCATAGGGCAGCACGGTGGCCCAGTGATTAGCACTGTTGCCTCAGCAAGAACGTCACCGGTTCTAGTCCTTTAACAGGCCGGTGGTCGTTTCTGTGCGTAGTTTGCATGTTCTTCCCGTGCTCGCATGGGTTTTCCCTGGGTCCTCTAGTTTCCTACTACATTCCAAAAACAAGCACAACAAGAAAATTAATCAATCTATAATTTGCACTACAGTTAATGTCTCACCCTGCAGTATATCTTTTTATATAGCATTCAATTTATTCATCAGTTTTTATCAAGGTGGAGTTGTCGAGATCTACCTGAGCTCAAGGCTCCCCTCTCGCCCTGCAAACAGGAGAGAGCCCAGGGCTCAAGGAACTTTTGAGCTCAGGGCTCTCTCCCGGGACAGCATGCCAAACTTGCTTATAATGAATCTTCAGCTAAGTGTGAACTCTTGAAATCTTATGAAATGAACATGAATTTGAGGCATAAAAAGGGGTCAGAGACCTGTAAATTTAGCTGTTTTGGTTGCATATTTACATTAATGGGGGATGTTGTGACCTAATGGCTAGAGAATTGTAAGCTTGTGGGTTCGAGTCTCAAGTCTGGCAAAGATTATTGATGGGGGAGTGAATGACCAGCGCTTCCATCCTCAATACCACGAGAACCCCTAAGCAAGGCATTGTAGCTCCAACTGTGTTCACTTTTTGTTTCTGTTTACTGCAGTGTGTGTGCCTTTGGATGGATGAAATGCCTCTTATTTCTAATGTATGCAGTGAAATTGGAATCAAGGCTTTTGAGAATCTATATAATTTACCATATAAAAAAAAATGAATGGAAAAATCAATATCTCTGCTCAGTGAAAATCCAAGCAAATCAAATATGCAAATGCTAGTTTAGCTGCTCAACCCTAGCTTTATTATTGTTTACGTTAATCAAAACTTTTTTTTTATCTATTTATGTAAAATATCCATAAAAATATCCTGCATCCATGAAGCTCTAAAGTGGTAGCCATTTGTTTAATGACTTGAAAAAGCAAGTGCTAAATATAAAACCTTATCAAAATTATTAGGAACAACCACATTTCCACATTCTCTGACTCCTGCCTTCAATATTTAATTAGATCTGATGTGATTCATGGCTAATTGAACATGCGATTGAATAATTAACTTTCAAAACATGAATAATTCAGGCCCTAATTGATGTCTCCTGCCTCTCTGGACTCATAATATATGAATGTGTGAATACACCTTGCGTCACGACAGACACGCTTTGAGAGAATGTATTCTGACGAGGCAAAGATGCAAATTGTTTATTTAATTTAAGACGTCACGGCGGCTCTTATGAAACACAAACTGACATGTGCTGGCAGAGATGCGAGAGCGGCTCTTTTAGGAGTCATGGCAGTGAGAAAAAAAATTCAAAGTTTCGTTTGTTGCTTTTGTTTTAGATTTCAAAAAATATTTCATAGAAGCTACAACACCTGCTGAGACAACAAATCGCAGGGCTTGTTCCCCAAATGCTTGAAAGGATGTCTCTCTTGAGGGAGCGCGTGTGAGTGTTTGACTTGCTGACAGAGAGACAGGCAGGCGCTTTATATTGTGTTTGCAAGTACCCTAGAGGGTGAGGTAGAGCGAAAAGGTGAAGAAGAAGAGTGTGTGATTGAGAGATATGCTGCTATCTCAGGAGGCTTCCACATTGAGCTGCTGTTATCATGGGGATCAGCTCTTAAACACATCTCACCGCATACTTGTTTATCTGGTAGGTCCCGGCAGATTGGCTTTGTTCTGGTGCTTGATTCCTCGCCTGTCTTACTCCACACACATGCATGCACATGTTTAGGGACCCGTATTTTCAGCTTCACAGCGTTAAACAGTTGAAACCCTCCGGGCTGGATTATTCAAGGTCAGAGAATATGTGAATGATCACGGCATCACTGTTATTTTGGTCAAGGTGGAATTTATCAAAAAATTTCAGATATAAGGTTGATCTTTATTTATAAATATGTATCAACACACACACACACACACACACACACACACACACACATACACACACACACACACACACACACACATTCACACACACATTTATATCGTTAGGTCCATATATATATTGGACTCAATGTATTTAAGGGAACATCAAAATCAGGTCAATGGTGTAGGAATTACAACAGTTTGCACATGGGCCTCCCACTTGTTAAGGGTCCAAAAATAAATCAACAGAATAATAGTCATATATCAAACTTTTATTGTTAATACTTGGTTGCAAATCCATTGCAGTCAATTATAGCCTGAAGCCAGGAATGCATAGATGTCACCAGACGCTGGGTTTCATTCCTGGTGCTGCTCTGCCAGGCCTCTACAGCAACTTCCTTCAGTTTCTGCTTGTTCTTGGAGCATTTTGCCATAAGTTTAGCTTCAGTAAGTGAAATGCAAGTTCAACTGGATTCAGGTCAGGGGATTGACTTGGCCATTGCATAACACTCCTTTCACACTTCTTTCCCTTCAAAAACTCCTTTGTTGCATTTTCAGTATGCTTTGGGTCATTCTCCATTTGCACTGTGAAGCACCATCCAATCAGTTCTGAAATATTTGGCTTAATATGAGCTAAAATATTGCCTAAAACACTTCAGAATACATCCTGCTGCTTTTGTCAGCAGTTAGATCATCCAGTTCCATTGACAGCCATACATGCCCACGCCATGTCACTACTACCACCATGCTCCACTACTTAGGATCTTTAGCAGCTATTTTCATTCTCCATACTCTTCTCTTCCCATCACTCTGGTACAAGTTGATCTTGATCTCATCTGTCCATTGGATGTTATTCCAGAACTGTGAAGGCTTTTTTAGAAGTCTAATCTGACCTTCCTGTTTTTGAGGCTCTCCAATGGTTTACATCTTGTGGTGAGCCCTCTGTATTCACTCTGGTGTAGTCTTTTTTTATGGTTGAATTTGACACACATACATCTTCCCCCTGGAGAGTGTTCTGGATCTGACCAACTGTAATTGGAGTTTTTGCGCATCAGCGCATTCAGAAATAACAGTTTGTTGCCAAAAGCCGATATATCCTGAGAACCAATCAGAAGGCGCGAATTATATCATATGTTTTCAATGTAGCAGAGTGCTGATATACCCGCTTTTATGAAGAGACATACAGTATTCCACTTTCGATTTTTTGATTTTAAAAGATGGAGTTTAATGAGCTAGATGAGCTTTTCGACTGTAAGTGAATGGCAAATGAAAATGTTCCTTACCTCAAAACTCTCTTAACTTAAGGAAAAGATAAAACACAATGTGCAGTCGGAAGTGTTACATGCATTCATGATGTTTGTTTGCCCAGCACCGCTACTTTAAATGAGTCCGATTTACTATACAATAAACGGCAACTTCATTTCATGAAAGACAGAGTTAAGATGCTGTTCTTTTATCCTACATAGATGCTATGTAGCATTAAGTATGGTGAGAATGAATGAATGACAACTTCTAAAATTGTGTGAGAGACATCCTCTTTTGCCCAGAAGGCCTACATTGTGTTTTATTTGCTAATGTAAGCTATTTTTTAAAAGATAAATATAATGTATAAAACTATACATTATTGATATTACTTCACAATGCCTACACATCTGATAAGCTTTTTATATTAATAGACAAGATATTGATATTGATGTTTCACAATGTTTTTACACTACATTAATTGAATCTACCAAGCTTAGCTTACAATGTTTACATTGCTCTACTTATAAAAAACCCAAATATCAGAAATGACATCAGATTGTTTGGATTTAATTGATGTCAGTTTTAATGTTATTGATAAATGCACTTACAGAACTCCTTCTGCTTGTTCCCTGGTTTATCACGAAGGA